AACACTGGTCACTACTGGCTGGACTGTACCTGTAACACCGGTCACTACTGGCTGGACTGTACCTGTAACACTGGTCACTACTGGCTGGACTGTACCTGTAACACCTGACACTGGTCACTACTGGCTGGACTGTACCTGTAACACTGGTCACTACTGGCTGGACTGTACCTGTAACACTGGTCACTACTGGCTGGACTGTACCTGTAACACCGGTCACTACTGGCTGGACTGTACCTGTAACACCGGTCACTACTGGCTGGACTGTACCTGTAACACCGGTCACTACTGGCTGGACTGTACCTGTAACACCGGTCACTACTGGCTGGACTGTACCTGTAACACTGGTCACTACTGGCTGGACTGTACCTGTAACACCGGTCACTACTGGCTGGACTGTACCTGTAACACCGGTCACTACTGGCTGGACTGTACCTGTAACACTGGTCACTACTGGCTGGACTGTACCTGTAACACCGGTCACTACTGGCTGGACTGTACCTGTAACACCGGTCACTACTGGCTGGACTGTACCTGTAACACTGGTCACTACTGGCTGGACTGTACCTGTAACACCGGTCACTACTGGCTGGACTGTACCTGTAACACCGGTCACTACTGGCTGGACTAAACACGGGAATAACAGCCTAAACTTACATCTTAGACATCAAGTGATTGAAATGTAAGTAACATTTTACAAGAGGATATATTGTTAAAATAAAGCGAGGTTTAACATTAGGTTAAAATAAAGCCAGGTTTAACATTAGGTTAAAATAAAGCCAGGTTTAACATTAGGTTAAAATAAAGCCAGGTTTAACATGAGGTTAAAATAAAGCCAGGTTTAACATTAGAGCGCTGAGACTGACATTGGCACAGATTATATCACAAAATTAGGACAATGAGACATTTAGCAGTAAAAGTAATGTCCACTAATCATTGCTTGACGTTGTAGATACCTGCACGCCTTCACAACTCTACATTTTTTTTTTTTTGAGATATATACAAGAGTTGTTACATTCTTGTAGAGCCACTAGTACGCGTAGCGTTTCGGGCAAGTCCTTAATCCTATGGTCCCTGGAATACGATCCCCCGCCGCGAAGAATCGTTTTTTCATCCAAGTACACATTTTACTGTTGCGTTAAACAGAGGCTACAGTTAAGGAATTGCGCCCAGTAAATCCTCCCCGGCCAGGATACGAACCCATGACATAGCGCTCGCGGAACGCCAGGCGAGTGTCTTACCACTACACCACGGAGACATCAACACACACTGGGTCAATCATGACTCAAAATCATCACAAACACATTGCTCATATAACATCGATCTGCCTTCATTTGGACTAGAATGCCCATCAGTAATCCATCTGTGTGGGACTGTAGTTCCTTCATAATTCCTAATATCCAGCTGGGAGTCTCCCTGCTGTCTGTGCTGAGGATTGTGCTGTCCTGTTCAGTAGACCTGCTACACTATTATATATATAGACCGATGCTTAACTAGTGTTTCCTGACAATTTGGCTCATATTTCTGGAAAAGTAGGAGTGGCCAGTGATAAGTTAATGTCTGAAAAAAGAGTTGATTGAGTTCACTGGAAGGGTGATTCTTTTCAGACAAAAAGATATTCGTGTTATAATTATTTCCTCAAGTGTGTGTGTGTACATGAGTCCACGCAGATTGTAGTGAGTGTGGGCATGGACGGTTATCTTGAGGTTATCTTGAGATGATTTCGGGGCTTTTTCTAGTGTCCCCGCGGCCCAGTCCTCGATCAGGCCTCCACCCCCAGGAAGCAGCCCGTGACAGCTGACTAACTCCCAGGTACCTATTTACTGCTAGGTAACTGGGGCATTTAGGGTGAAAGAAACTTTGCCCATTTGTTTCTGCCTCGTGCGGGAATCGAACCCGCGCCACAGAATTACGAGTCCTGCACGCTATCCACCAGGCTACGAGGCCCCATGGACACCCAAGATATATCCAGACCATTCACAACTAAGCTTACAGAGGTCAGTTTCGTTGGTCCTATAGTTCATATCCATACAAACTTGAATATTGACTGAAAATGACTTTCGACCAGGTATCAAGATAACCAAGTTCGCTAATGATGACATATGTTATGACATTCAGGTATCTAATTGCATACGAAAAATTGACACGTGGGCCCTTGAGGATATAATATATCCCAGATGCTTCTCAGAATACTTCACTGGAATCTTCCGCAGAATAGCAATTTTAGATTGAGATTTAGATAAAACGAATCCTGCAAGTTAAACGCCTGCAAAAAAAGGTGCAAAAAAAGGTTAAACTTTGGTTAGATTCTGCAATATACCTCGCATATTTCTAGGAAATTTTCCATAATTTCTTTGGTGGGTGTGAGTGGAACTAGATCCTCGGCATAGCAGAGAACACTGGCCTTGGGACTGCCTATCTGAAGGTTATCTGGAGATGATTTCGGGGCTTTTTTTTTTTTTAGTGTCCCCGCGGCCCGGTCCTCGACCAGGCCTCCACCCCCAGGAAGCAACCCGTGACAGCTGACTAACACCCAGGTACCTATTTTACTGCTAGGTAACAGGGGCATAGGGTGAAAGAAACTCTGCCCATTGTTTCTCGCCGGCGCCTGGGATCGAACCCAGGACCACAGGATCACAAGTCCAGCGTGTTGTCCGCTCGGCCGACCGGCTCCCCTTGCTATGCGACTGCCAACTCTACGGGCTCTTTAACTCATTTAACTGTGGATAGAGATTCATTGCGAACAAAATTGAAGTAGGAAGAACATTTGTTTGACTCCATTTTTATGGCTACATTTTAAGAGACATTGCTTCATTTCACAGTTAATTTGTATATCTAATAAGAAATATATATGGCAGGATATACTATTTTGTTAAGTATTTCTCTAAAAGTTTATAAGTTCAACTTTGTCTAAAGCTTTGGAAGCATCCAAATGGAGAGAGAGAGAGAGAGAGAGAAGGGATCTACCTTGTGAGCAGTTGATAGTGAGCAGTTTCCGTCATTACGAAGCTCAAAAGTGTTGTTAAGTAACCAGTTTGTGTATGATAAGTGAATGTCAGAAGTGTCTAGCCAGACAACTTGAAAACCAATGCGTTTACAGTCAAATACTCTGTTTACTATATAACTATCTACGGGCTCACCATAGCCCGTGCTACTTGGAACTTTTTGTTCCAGGTAGCGAATCTTTAACAACAACAACATCTGTTTACTAGTGTGTTTATGACAATAGTTCTGAAGTTATCAGAGGAAGAAGCTCGGCAGATCTGTGATGGGAACACGTGCAGAGATCATCTGTAACACGTGTGTTACAGATGACGATGTATCATGTGTCTTACGGACACATAGTCAGATAAACGTATAGCTTCAGTGTTCCATGTTTAAGGTTGCCAGATTATATGTTAAAGGGGCTATATTAAACACCCATTTTTTTAGCTTTCTTTCTACTTTCTCAGTCATTAAAGGGGTTACACTTGCAGGTATTTAACATTAGAGCAACCCGTTCTCGCAAATTCGTAAAGTCAATATTGACTTATTAACTACGTGCATAGGTGATATACTAAACATAATAGATACCCTTAAAAAGATTCATAGAAAACACCGACCTTACCTAATCTTGTTAGTATCTTAAGATAAGCATCTTATTGCTTCATAATTACAATTATTACTTAACCTATACCTATTATAGGTTAGGTAATAATTGTAATTACGAAGCAATAAGATGCTTATCTTAACATACTAAGTAGGTTAGGTAAGGTCGGTGTTTTCTATGAAGCTTTTCAAGGGAAACTATTATGTTAAGTATGTCACCTATGCACATATTTAATAAGTCAATATTGACTTATTAAATTTGTGAGAACGGGTTGCATTAGAGGCAGGGGTATAATCAGGTGTCACATACAGCTGAAGTTAAATTAGTTTCAATTTCATCCGTCAGGTGTATAGCTCTGATAAACAACGTTGAACATTTCTCTTTGAATGCATTACATATAATATGGGGCCCAGAGGAACCGTCCATGACGCTCCTTACCCTTGTGAATGAACTTTTGTTATACTAATTTCATCCCAAAATTCATAAAACTTTTTTCTTGAAAGATTATCAGCAACTTTTGATCTCACACTATTATTTTTCTTTTCTTTAATCTTCTTCATGGCTTGGGTATTGAACCGTGTGTTCCCTCTGGTCTGGGGCAGCCATCCACCTCTGGGACACCCGCAGCTTCCTAGATTATGACAAAAAGTAGATCTATTTTGAGATTACCTAACGTATTCGTGCCAAACAGGCCTGCTTCCTCGTCTCTTTCTTCTGAGAGAGAACTCATTAGCACCTCGAGTGAAGGTAACATTGAGAGTGCAAGTGTTGCGTACGTGGCTCCATCTGGAGGCTGATGGTCGAGATGCACCTCTGCACTTGTCTCTAAAAAGTGTCCCTAATTCCGGAATTTCTTGGAGGTGAAGAAATCAGAGCTATCGGGTCATGCTATCTCCTGCAGGTCACCACAGAAAGAACATGTCATACAATTTTGAATATTATTAGATGTTCTGACAGCTTTGGATGTGTCGCGAGTCGCTGTAGAAAAAGTCATTTATAAACTGTTGCTAATTAAGTTGTCTGGTGAAAAAATCTCTGTTTGTGGATTCTACACGAAACATCTTTTATTCATCGTAGAAAAGGTGAAGAGCTAAATTAAAAATTACAATCATTATTAAATGTCTGTTGTTGAACGGTTGTACTGGGAGTAAGATTGCAATCCCTATACGTTTCTTGCTTGCTTCCTCGTGACCTCGTACCGAAACCTTAACGACACGACTGTAAGTATATAGCTGTCTTTGTTATCTGATCACAAGTCAAAACTATAGCTAGTCCACCTGATAAATAAATTGCTTAGTTTAAAGAATTTTGGGGTCCAATTTGTGAGCCCCCATTGTGGCTGTGTACCACCCCTCCCCCCGCCCACAGGATCCGGAGGGAATTCATAATAAACAAGTTCAATAGAGCAACATACCAGGAGGGAAGAGCGGGTGAGCCGAGACATTGGAGGCGAGGACAGTGTTATAGCTGGGGCAGGAGGGGGTGTGTTGTGGCCCCAGCCTCACGTCACTCCTCCAGGGGGCAGCAGCACCAGGGGTGTGTTGTGGCCCCAGCCTCACGTCACTCCTCCAGGGGGCAGCAGCACCAGGGGTGTGTTGTGACCCCAGCCTCACGTCACTCCTCCAGGGGGCAGCAGCACCAGGGGTGTGTTGTGGCCCCAGCCTCACGTCACTCCTCCAGGGGGCAGCAGCACCAGGGGTGTGTTGTGGCCCCAGCCTCACGTCACTCCTCCAGGGGGCAGCAGCACCAGGGGTGTGTTGTGGCCCCAGCCTCACGTCACTCCTCCAGGGGGCAGCATCACTGGACACCGTGAAGCTCGTCCACAGAGGAAGCTTCACCACGGGGGAATAAGCTGAAATATAGAGAGTAACCTGAGTATGAACGACATCATGGAAATAACTGCGAAGGAAAGTTATATAAACTGAGCAATATAAGCTTTGTGATGATGCAACAAGAAAACACTGTTATGCAGCTTATGATATATGTATATATATATATATATATATATATATATATATATATATATATATATATATATATATATATATATATATATATATATATATATATTGTCGGGGTTTACTCGGGTGAGCAACAGTATACTCAAGGTCACTCACCGTAGCCCTGCGGGTCTTCACTCTATCCTCGCGGCGCCACTGTACGCCAGGAGAGTATCCCAGTCAATCCCAACCGGCCTCTGATCGAGAAGGAGTGGGAACACAACTTGTTCACTTAACTGTTGTATGCCCGCCCCGTCATAGGGCTCTACTACTAACCACAAGGTCGCCAACTGGTGTTTTCGGTGTCCAGTAACACGTCAGTGGTTTTGTTGAATTGTGGTAACAGTGGCAAGGACACACTCAATAGATCTGATATCAGGCAGGTATTTACTTCTATCACTCTCTGCTTTCAGGTATTATATAGCCACAAGAAATATGGAGGGGATGATATAAACACCAATGTATTTTGTATTTTACTTAAAACTCATTCAAAGACATCACAAGATTATATCAAAAAGCAAACAGCTGTTTCAGGCGGGAGTCGTTCGTTCCCACATAAAATATGAACTCACTAAGCTGGCAACACTCCCCCTCTCGTCAATGTCAAAATCAGCTGGGCGACTACCCCCCGCGCGAATGTTACTTTATCTGTTTGCTTGGCGTGACGCGCCAATTTCTTTAAGTTCTCAAAGATCACTAGAAGTTCGAACACACAATATTTGCGACAATAGCACGTAAATACTTCGCTACACTGATCTTGGGCTCAATCAAACATTTCTATATTAAATGTGACAATAATTCACTGTCATAGTATTACACACTGCCCTTCAGCTAATGATAACTTATGAAGTATTTATCACTGGAGTTCTCAGTAATTCCTTTCGGGGGCGATAACACAATTAATCACTAGTTCTCAGTAATTCCTTCCGTGGGCGATAACACAATTAATCACTGCACACATGAATGATTATTCAATACACGAGCATAGACATATATAATGATAATAACATAGTTACTGGGCACATAGCCTAACTCCCAAATACTGGCATAACTATATATATTAATTCTCTCACTATATGATCACATTAAAGTCTCATGAAAGACATTCTCAACACAGTAAATTCATCAATTACTCTGGGTGCCTGTACACACCAATAATAATCATATATATCGTGAGTACTCTTTATAGTACCACTCTGCACACTGGTGCCTTACTGTGACATAGGTGAGCCTTGCTCACGACATACAAAATACTCAGGCTAAATAATATAGCTGACTAAAGGGGAATTGGGAGGGAAACTAGAATCACCTACTTCCACCTATCCTCCGATGAGAGTTGAGTTGTAGCTCCTGGTCCTGGCTCCTGCCTCGTGTAGGGAACGCCCCCACACACACACTGTCGTGTCCTCCAGGAACTCAATCAACGTCCCACCATAAGCGCGTCGTCTCCGTGCCTTTTCCCTGCAGGTCCGTGCTCCTCCTCGACTTCTTGTAGGGTTGGAGTCGGTCTCCCGGCCGTCAACTTCTCCTCCCAGCTACGGCTGCCCGCCTACGTCTCGGCTGCAGTCGTTCGGATTCCCAAATAGTTTCCTTCTTCCACTGCTTCCCGGTGGCTCAGTCCAGCCACTACGCCGTCACAAAAGGGTGAACTGCCTCAGACGTCGCATACGTCACTGCACAGACTTCACTTCTTCTTGCACAGTACCTGTCCTGGAGCACTTGTTGCTCAATATCCCGTCGATTCCCTCTCTGGTCCAGCACATGAACGAAGGAAGACCTCACAGAGTACTGGCAGACTTCGGGTGACGCGTAAAATCCACGGGAGCGGGAAACAACTGTCAAACTGACAGGACCAATCTTCGCACGTCCAACCTCCTTGACGTGTCGTGTCAGACTGATGGCGCCGCCGTGGCGCTCTGACCGGACCCCCCTTCCTTCGTGACGTCACATTCGCCACGGGAGGTTTTCATTGGCTCCCTGTGCCACATTGCTGTCGGTAACCAATCCGGTGTCACTGACGTCACACAGTTTTAGCGGGAAAACAGAAGAGCCAGCGCCATATTGGCTTCCTAAAGGGCCTAAACCACAGCCCAAAATACTCTTCTTTTATAAATTTCTCGGCACTCCGAGAACACTACATTCCCCCACATATACCAAACTGATGCCTGCGACGTAGAGAACGCTCGGGTAAAGTGGACATGACTCTTACTGCAGGCGTGGGAGAAATATAAGGGGGGGGGGGAACACCGTCACATACCCCTCCCCTTAAAATAAGAGTCATGTCTGGTTAGTGTATACGGGACAGGGCATCTGCAACCACGTTGTCCTTCCCCCTGATGTGCTTGATGTCCAGCCGGTACTCTTGCAGTAGCAACGCCCACCTCGTCAGACGTTGGTTGGAGTTCCTCATTTTGTACAAAAAGGTGAGAGGGTTGTGATCTGTGAACACCAGAACAGGTCTCGCCCCTCCTCCCACGTACACATCGAAGTGCTTCAGGGCCATAACTAGCGCCAATGCCTCTTTCTCAACGGTACTATAGGCCCGCTGGTACTTCACAAACTTCTTAGAGTAGAAAGCTACTGGCCTATGTATCTCACTCCTCTCTTGAGCCAACATGGCCCCTATCCCAACGTCGCTGGCGTCTACGTACAGGATGAATCCGGCTGAGAAATCTGGGGATATTAAGACCGGGGCCTCCGTCAACAGTTTCTTGGTCTTCTCAAAAGACTCTTGGCAGGCCTCTCCCCATCTCCATCGCACATTCTTGGAGAGTAGCTCGGTCAGGGGATGCGCTACCGTGGAAAAATTCCTGCAGAACCCACGATAGTACCCTATCATCCCGAGATACCTTAACAAATCTTTACGCGTTCTGGGCACGGGGTATTCCTTAATGGCTGACACTTTGTGATCTACAGGGGTGACTTCACCTTGGCCGATGACGAAACCAAGGTACTCTAAGTGGGCCTTCCCAAACTCGCTCTTGGCCAAATTTACAGTCAAGTTAGCCTCCTCTAGCCTTCTAAACAATTCCTTGAGTCTCTCCAGGTGCGTCTTCCAATCGTCGGCGTACACGACGATGTCATCGATGTATACTGTGCAGCCTGCGGCACCCCTTAGCAACTCATTCATCATGCGCTGGAAACAGCTACCGCTGTTTTTCATTCCAAAGGGTAACACCTTGTATTGGTACAGCCCGTCAGGAGTTGCGAAAGCTGATATTTTCCTGGCCTCAGGAGTCAAAGAGATCTGGTAGTACCCCTTGAGCAGATCGACCTTGGATACGTACCTTGCACTGCCCACCTGGTCGATGCAATCGCTCACTCTTGGCATGGGGTGAGAATCTGCCACTGTGATGGAGTTCACCCTCCTGTAGTCTGTACAAAAGCGGAAGGTACCATCGCTTTTCTTCACCAACAAGCAAGGGGAACTCCACTCACTTTTACTGGGCTCCGCAAGGTCGTTCTCAAGGAGATACTCCACCTCCTTCCTCATCAGCTCTCGCTTCTCCGGGCTCACCCTATATGCGCTCTGCTTGACGGGCCTGGCGTCCCTCACCTCTACCTCGTGCGTTACACTCTTGTGTCGTCGGGGCACGTCGGTAAAGAGGGAGGCATTCTCCCTCAGTAGGTTCGTCAGGTCCGCGCTCTGTTGCCCTTCCAGGTGTAGTAGCTTGTCCTCGATCTTCGCCAGACTCTCAGTGTTGGTGAGACGGGTGCCGTCCGCCCTGGACCACTTTCCTTCCTCCTCTGGAAGTTCCTGGTCCACCTGCACGCACAAAATCGTCTTCTGCTGGGGGTCTCGGGTCACCGTCCCGTCCTGCACGGCGGCTCCTCCTTCCACAGGGAAGAAAGGCTTCAGGCGGTCTACATGACACACCTGTTTCTTGCAGGGTCTATCCGGCTTCCCGATTTCATACGATACAGGACCCAACCACCGTAGCACCTGGTATGGTCCCTCGAACCGCGAGTCGGTCACCCTACTTTTACCCGGCAGCAATACCATCACCTGGGACCCAACCTGGAACTCCCTCGGCGTAGCTCTTTTGTCGTACCACTCCGACATCTTACGCTGCGCCTCCTTCAGATGTTTCCCAGCTAGTTCCTTTGCTAGAGTGAGACGCTCCTTGAACTTTTGAACATATTCATTGACCGTTCCCACGGTCACTCCCGGTGTCCATTGTTCTTTCAGCATGGACAGAGGACTTCGCACCTCGTGTCCATACACCAGCTGGAAAGGTGAGAAACCTAACGATTCTACCACCGCGTTACGTATGGCAAACAACGCGGGGTATACTGCCTCATCCCACTCAGCCCCCTGTTCTGCGCAGAACACTCTCAGAACGGTCTTCAAGGTGGAGTGAAACCTTTCGATCGCCCCTTGCGACTGCGGTCGGTAGGGCGACGACCGAATCTGAGTCACTCCCCAACCTGTCACCGTCTGTCGGAACCACTTAGACTGGAATATACTTCCACAGTCTGTCTGAATTTCTCTGGGCATCCCCACCCAAGAGAAAAATCGTTGTAGTTGCCCGGCTACTCCTTTCGACGTCAAACGTCGCATCGGGACGGCTTCTGGAAATCTGGTGGACGCACACATGATCGTCATCAGGTATGTATTCCCTCGTTTCGTCCGCATCAACGGACCCACCCCGTCGACCAACAGACGCTCGAATGCAGGCCCAAACGCCGGAACAGGGACCAACGGGGCCTTCGGTATCGCGGATTGGCTCTTCCCTGCCCTCTGGCACGATAAGCACGTCTTACAATAACGCCTCACATCGGCGTCCATACCTGGCCAGTAGAAATGATCCCTGATCCTTCGCAGCGTCTTGGTCACCCCCAGGTGACCTGC